ACCCATACTTAAATCAGGCAACGCTCCACCCATCAACACAGAGTTACACCTTACTGAAGTAAGTTCTGTACAGTTTTTGTGTACAGTCTACATGCACACACAAAAGGCTTCTCAACGTCTTGTTCTTAGCAAATGATACATCATGTGGATAAGCATACTCTTAAGGCAGCCCTCTTGTTCTAGAAATCATCTCAGCAATTTTTTTTTCCACATCATTTTGCTTAAAAGAAACCAAGTGTATATATTACTGTTATGTTTGTTCATACTTGCCCACAGCCTAACATGTCAATTTTATGTTATTTACCTGTAGAATGAAGCAAAATCGTTTTCTACGTAGATAATAGCTGTAAGGTATTTTATTTAGCCAATGTAAGTCCATCACAGCCAATATACTCCTGCAGCAATGTTGTAAAGTAACTCAAACCAATTCAATCAACTATCACACAGCTTTTTGAGAAGAAAACACCTGCAGCTAATGAAAGAAATTACATTCAACCAATTATTATACTGCCATCTAGTGCTTACTGAATGTACAACTGTTCAGAGAAATTCTACTAATTTCATAGCAGCATAAAGGCATACACTATCCTGAATTGGAAGAGGCCACCATGTCCCATCCCTGGCTGCACGCAGAATTCAAACCTGATGTCTGAGAGCACTGTCTAAATGCTTCTTTTGCTCCAGCAGCTCATTGCTGTGACCCCTGGGGAGCCAGTTCCATGCTTCAGTAGTTCGTGGTTCCTACGATTGGCTTATAGCAAAAGAAAAGTTCAGCTCACACATTTGAATATAGGCATGCATACAGGGAGCTTACCTAAGAGCAGCAATTGGGAACAGTTTAAACTGTGAAAAGTGACAGAATACGCTGAAAGAATCAATTTGAACTGTGGTTGTTTCGCACACACATAAATAAGCCTGGAGGGCCAGTACTTGAGGACCTACTTGAGGGACATCCAAATGTAGACTGAGAAAAAGCAAGTGGGATACAGTTCACACACTGTACAATCTCTTTCCTTGTGTAAGGAGGCAATGAAATCAAAGACATTAAAATATTAAAAGATGATCTTAATGTGTTTTCCACAGGTTGTTAATAGAAAGCGAAAAGCATTTCTAGCAGTTGTGGGAGAAACTGAGTTCATAGAATCATAGAATCATAGAATGGCTTGAGATGGAAGGGACATCAAGGATCATCAATCTGCAACCTTGCTGCCACAGGCAGGGCTGCCAACCTCCACATCTAATACCAGACCAGGCTGCCCAAAGCCCCATCCAACCTGTCTTTTATGCATGGTTTATGCATAGTTTATGCAAGCTAGTTCCTGTCAAGTTGATTTGATGATCTTTGAAGAAAATATTCGGACAATAGAAATATATTTGTGGAAAACAAAACCTATTTTTTTCCTTGGAATGTCATTCTCTATTTTAATTTTACCCAGTGTTTTCTTGAGGCAAATTATCTCTGATATTCCTCTTTTTCCAGGAAAATCACCCTGCCATGCTATCTAAACCCCAATATTTTCAGAAATAGTTCTGCATTTCCCTTCTCACATATGGTTTAGGTATATGCTTGTCCTACTGTCATACCTCTATAATACAATATGAAAAAAGATGTGATTTTGTAATATCAGAAGAAAGTTACAAAATTCATAGTTAAAAATTTCTTTACATAGTGTACACTTTTTGCCCTCCTAAGTAGGTGGTTGCTTAAGCCTCAAAATATTTAGAACAAATTCATCTTTAACTCAAGGTAAATGATACACTGAGCTATTCATTTCTAAAGTTTAATTTATACTTCTGTTGTAAATTTCTAAAAATACGTGTGAAATTAAGAGTTTCATCTGTTATGGAACCTCTAATTATTTGCTCTTGAATACAACTGGAAATTTGGTAGAATAAAGAAAGCAAGAGTGCTCATTCTTTTCTTCACAACTCTTTCAGTCACTGTTACATTATGTCCATCTGCATTAAGCAGTCCAAATTGTCTTTCCATAGAGGTAATAACTTTTATCTACCCATTTTCATCAGTCTTATATCTGCACTCCTTTATAAACCTAAGCAGTTTGTACTAATAAAATAGGATTATCCTATGGCCACAGCAAGCCTTCAGCTTTTAAATTTGTATATTAATTTGAGAAGGACTGAAAGAGTTTTTATTAAAGCCAGTGCGATGCTCTTCTCTTCAATAGCTTGCATTTAAAGGCTACAGAAATTGTAACAGGTATTTTATTTAGGAAGCTAAAGCTTCATAGCAAGTGGTGGAGTTTGACTGGATGATTTATACCACATGTAAACAGTCCCTCAGAAAGCCTACAGGAAACGTACAGTTTGCATTGTATGAAAATCAGAAGCTAAATATGGAGAGAAAGATTCCTTTTTCATATGTATTCAACAGTGAACTTTTTTTTTTTTTGGAATCTCCACAGGATTTTAAGTGCTTACAGGAGCCTGAAATAAATAAGTACCCATGAAGTGTCTGTAATCTAGAAAATACACTTCATTTACTGTAGTATGACTGTCAGTCAGGACTGTTAAAACCAATTCATGCAAATACAAGCGTCTTTACTGTTATATTTACCTTTTCACTTCTCATTTGCATTCTTATTCCTTGTGGGATGTGTCAGAAGCCCATGTTCTCAGAGCAGACTGTTTTTACACAGAGCTGAATGTAGTGTAAGTACTAATTGTACCTGCAGTACAAATGAGAAACAGCAACAATAATTACACCTTTTATCTTGATGTGAAAAGGCTGTTTCCATTCATGCCAAATTTAAAATAAAATTGAGAGGAACAAAAGTAGGTATTAGGCCTCTTTGTGAAAGTTAGTGCCCAAATATTGTAATTATTACTGACATGGAAGAGGTTATGCCTAAGCGTAGGATTTAATCCCGGGTTTCTAATCTATGCTAGTTTTCCATAAAGGCAATCTGCAAATAAAGACATCATAGCACAGAATTGTTGGGCCATACTGTATCTTTTTACCTTAGCTGTAATACAAGAATGGGCCTAACTCAATGTATGTTAGGCAATGGAAAGATTTTCAAGTCGGGTGCACTAAAACAACAACATCTGTGACATTCGTCAGAAGATGGAACTGGAACTGAGTGTTAGAGAATCCTAAAAAGCTTACGTCATCTTACATCATCAAAACCTTACTTACATCCTTAAAACCTCTCACAACAAAAATTGCTCTGAATCCAGTAATTAAAACTGTATGCTCTTCTCTTCTGAGAACCAGGTACCCAAACTATCCACAATCCATGGAACTGGAGCATTAACCTTTAACCCCCAGTCCACTACATGATAATTCCAAGTGGTGAATCAAATCCTTGATTTAAGGTTTCTTGATTCATAAGTGTTTGAACAACTGTTCTAAATTGCTTGATGTTTTAGATTGATATCTCTCTTGATATCTTTTAGTGAGAACTAGTGGTGATAGGTGGATGGTTGGACTGGATGATTTCATAGGTCTTTTCCAACCTTGGTGTTTCTGTGATTTCTGTGATTCTGTGATCCTCTTTCCCCCACGTTGTTTCACATCAGATGTCATCCTGGCCAAGTTCAGAATGCAAACCCACTGAAAACAAAAGGGACAAAGACATTTGTGAAAGCAAAATGTAGGGAGATAGATACGCAGTTGACCATTTTATTTGGTTGTAAATCAAAGCAACACAAGATGATGTGTGACTTTCATTAAAAAAAAAAAAATGTTTGGGATTGAGTGCACCCATAGTAAGTTTGGGTGGGAGTTGGGAGGCAGCGTTGATCTGTCTGAGGGGAGAAAGGCACTACAAAGGGACCTGGATAGACTGGATCGATGGGCCAAGGTAAACCAAATGAGTTTCAATAGGGCCAAGTGTCAGGTCCTGCATTTTGGTCACAACAACCCCAGGCAATCCTACAGGCTTGGGGAGGAGTGGCTGCAAAGCTGCCTGATGGAAAGGGACCTTGGTGTGCTGATGGACAGTGGGCTGAATATGAGCCAGCAGTGTGACCAGGTGGCCGAGAAGGCCAATGGCATCCTGGCTTGCATCAGGAATGTTGTGGTGAGCAGGACCAGGGAAGTCATCCTGCCCTGTACTCGGCACTGGTGAGGCCTCACCTCGAGTGCTGTGTTCAGTTTTGGGCACCTCAGTACAGAAAGGACACGGAGGTGCTGGAGCAGGTCCAGAGAAGGGCAACAGGGCTGGTGAATGGCTTGGAGAATATGGCCTGTGAGGAGAGAGTGAAGGAACTGGGGCTGTTCAGTCTGGGGAAGAGGAGGCTGAGGGGAGACATTATTGCTCTCTTCCAATACCTGAAAGGTGCTTACAGTGAGAGCGGGGTTGGTTTCTTCTCACTGGTGACAGGTGGCAGGATGAGGGGAAATGGCCTCAAATTGTGTCAGAGGAGGTGTAGGTTGGATATGAGGAAACATTTCTTTACAGAAGGGGTTGTTAAGCACTGGAATAGGCTCCCCAGGGAGGTGGTTGAATCACCATCCCTGGATGTGTTTAAGAACCATTTGGATGTGGTGCTCAGGGACATGATTCAGCAGAGGGCTGTTAGAGTTAGGGCAGCATGGTCGGGTTGTGGTTGGACTCGATGATCTTTAAGGTCTTTTCCAACCTAAGCAATTCTATGATTCCTCAAACAAAGTTTAACAGTATTTTGATTTTTAAAAACTGCTATAAATCGTTCTAAAAATCGATCTAAATGTATTTATAGTCGAAAAACTTTCTAGCCATTATGATTAGCCAGCACTTAGCTCCTTGGCTGTGCGACTGAGTGCAGTGCACTGCACACAAGCGGTTCTGGTTTCTGCACAACAGATCCGTTAAGCAGAAGGGAGCGTTTTATTGAAATATCCTTAGTCTAGATGTTCATCAGCCACATTGCTGCGCAGACCGTGCCAGCCAGGCTGACCCCTCCGCACGGCACAGCACCTTATCGAACACCGCGCGCCTCAACGCAACCGCGCTGCCGTAGCCCCGCCCCCACTAGCGGGCGGGGCGGGGCCCGGGCCTGCGCCTGGCGGAACCGCCGCTTAAAGGCGGGCGGGTGGAAGCGGGCTGGGCTGTGGAGATGGCGGTGACGGGACGGCAGACGGACTTGGATAACGTGAGCGCGGGCGGAGCGGGGCTCGGCAGGGCGCGGGGGCGGAGTGTCGGCGCTCGGGAGCGGGGCCGGGCTTCTGTGCGAGGCGGAGCGGGCACAGCTGGCGGCGGGGAGCGCCGAGCTGGGCGCCTGCCGGTGGGGCTCCTCCGCTTCTGGTTCTTTCTTCCGCTTTTTACTTATTTTTGCTCTTCAGCGACAGGCTGCGGCCTGTTTTTCCTCTCGGTGCGGGTAGCTGCTGAGCGGAGAGCTGCCGAGCCGCCTCGGGAAGCGAGAGGTTTCCCTGTGCCGTGCGGAGCTGGGCGCGTGGTGCCGCCCGTCGGGGTCCGGCTGTGCTGGGTTTCCTTATAAACGCCGCTTATGTTATGCCTTACAAAAACAGCCTGCTGCCCCTGCTGTTTCTCCTACAGTAGCTGTAGGAGACTGTAGACTGTGTAGACAGTGTGGCCTTTATGCAACAGTTCTTGCTGCTGCTTCATCTACAGCAGGAGGCCGTGTGTTCTGATTGCTTTGGCTTCTAATGGGTGTGGTTTTAGCAAGCCTTAATTGAATGAAGCCTGCAGTTGACCTATTTAAGGTGCTTCTTAGCTTTGCATCTCTTCAGTTCTCCTGGTCGCCTTGCTGAGCAGTGCTCATCCAGGGGGCTCTATCAGCTGCTGTACCCAATGTAAGTGGTGGATGCCCCGTCCTTGGAGGCATTCAAGGCCAGGCTGGTTGTGGTTCTGGGCAGTCTGGTCTGATGGCTGGTGACCCTGCACCATAGCAGGGGGTTGGAACTACATGATCTTAATGGTTCTTTTCATCCCAGGCCATTCTATGTGGAGGTGGGTTGTAGCTGACCTCACAGCAGTCAGATGCACTCAGATAACGCTGTGTTGCTGTATTTTGGGAGCAATGAGCTCACCTTTTCCTATCAGGCAGGAGAAATTGTCCTGACTGTGGCTTGTTGCCTTCGTCTGAGCAGTGAGCTGCTAGCTACACTGGTGCGTATGAGGTGGGATTGAGGGGAGATGGCTTTGTGGCTGGGGTGCCTGTCCTGAGTGCTTTCTTCCAGAGTTGAAAGTCATTCCTGACATCACGTAACAGGGATGGAGCATTTTTGTACTTCTACTTCTCGATTTTAAGTTGGTAATGTAAAAGGAGCGGTAGCATTTTGAGACTTAAAGGTCTACTGTGGAAGGTGATTTTAGCATGTGAGTATTCCTGCAAGGACTGTTTGCATTCAAAGGCTGTAGTAAATGAAAGTTTGAATAGGATTCAAACAGGTGAAGAAGCCCTACTTGCACCCTGTAGTTAGATGAGCAAGGCATTTGGTGTGCTAAATAAAAATGTAATGCTGGCTGAAGTAAGCTAGATGACTACTTCCTTTGTTGTAGGCAGATGTCTATAGATGAAACAGCACTTAGGAGCCTATCTCTTCCTATTCTGTCCTAGTAAATAGTTGTTATTTCAGCCCGTAAGTTGTACTTTGTTTTTCTATTCCATGTCCACAAGGAAAGACTTTTTTTTTCCTTCCACCCATGCTTAGGTTATTCTTACTACTTTTTTTTGTTAAAGAAAAACCACAAATATTTCAGGGGAATTACATAGTTAAGGTACCTGAGCGGAAAGTGGAGTTAAAGAAACCACAGTATTTGGCAGCACTGTGTCTCAGAAGATCTCTTTATGTTCTCTGTTGATGGCAGAGCATCTCTTGCCCAGCCGTTACTGGCATCTTTCTGAACTGATTCTTCATCCTTGCCTGGATTTGGTTTGAACTATTGCTGCAAATGTTTGGTGTGTTGGTGGCTGAATCATTTGAACTGAGCTTGCATTTGTTAAGTGGTAGACTACAACTCTGTCTTAAATTTACTTGCACAAATGCGTGAATAACAGACTTACAGTACCTGTATAAAACATGAGGGTGACTCTAAGACTAAGCTTCCTTAAAACTGAGAGTGATGCCAGGAGGTGGACTCATGTTAGATTCCTCTGGGTTTTAATTGGCTTAGTACTTAAGAGCATGTATCTTGAGATACTGATCTTGTTCTTTCTTTTCCATAGCTGAAGCAATAGAAAATTGTTCTGACTTCACTTTCAGGACTTATTTGTGTTCTCCCTTCTTCCTCTGCTCTAGGGCTCCTTGGAAATAACACAGAGTTTAGAAGATGAAGCTCTGTTGGATGCACCGCTTACTTCGTCTCATATGCTGTATTCTCAACTAAGGCCCAGATTTCATGCTATCCCAGTGGTTCTCCTTGCCAACTTTCTGTTGCTATTGCATGTAAGTTTAAGAAACATGACTTCCTTATGAAAGTGTACTATGCTAATTCTGAAATGCTACCCCAGCAAATCACTCAGTAATGCTACGGCACGTCTCTTTAGGGAGTGGAAAAACCATTTTAAAGAATAGCTGTTTGAAGTTGTTGGAAATGTATCTTCAAGTAACACTACTGCTGCAGAGGTGCTCAGATGAGTCATAGAGTGCTAAGATCTGAGCTTAATGTCACAGGGGAGGCTTGAAGTATTTCTTATCATAGTTACTAAGTGTGTCAAGTTAGACTAATTCCTGGTTTTGTATGGTAGTGAATGGAGGGGTAAATGAATCCAGATGTTATTTCTTGCCACGACTTCCATCTGGGGGTTGAGGTGGAAAAGCACAGGCAGAGCACGATGTTATAGCTAACAGTGTGAGGGTCTTGCTGGGGTTGGTAGACTAAAGCTGGGAGAGTCCTATCTAGTAGTGAGTTTATCCTTTACAAGTTGAAGCTACTTATTGCTTATGATCATGTAGAAACTTCACAGGAAGACCAGGTGAAGAGTTTTCTTCCTAAGAGGGAATTCAAATGGTACTCTCATGGCATGATGCCATTTATACAGACCCGGAGATGGTGTGCTTTTAAAGCCAGAGAATATTCAAGACCAGCGAATGTAGAAATTCTTTAATCATAAATAACCAAAATTCTATCATTAGTCCTATGCAAAGCACTCTCAAAAGAATTTTTAAAACTTGTTTCAGCCTCAGAGCTGTTTGAACAATATGCCCTGGCCTTCTTTTTTTAATAGATGTTTTGTGTGCTTCCTAGTAATATAATGAAATCTCCCTCTGAGCCAACTTAGGAAAGGCTGTTTCTGCTTTTCTGTTGAGTGGACAGCTAATATTTCCCTTAGAAACTGAATGTCTAGCCATATGTGTTTCACCTACCAGAACATCACTGGTACTGTTAGATAGCATTTTGAGTTTGCATTTTGAAGGTAGACACTGCTGTTTTTAGTGAAGAACTACACTTTGCAGTGCACTGGGACTGTTTCAGTCTGCTGTACACAGTTGGAGTGCAATGTCAGTCACTCTGATGCTAGAGAACTGCTAGAAACCTTTCAGTTCCCATTTTTTTTCCTCTCTCCTGCAAGTGGAGAGAAAGGGAGGGTAAGAAAAGAACTGCTCAGGTCTCTGTGAACCTGCAGTTTTCCAGGTTAAGTCTTGCTGCTGTTGCTGAGCCTGTTCCAGGGCAAGTCAGTAATTGAAACAAAATGGAGAGGTATCATCTTGTGTTGGTGGAGTAATTGCTCAAGGAGTGGTGCGATCTCTTACTGCAAAGAAACATGCTGATGGATGGGGAAAGCTAGTGATCTTTTTTTTTTTTTCCCCTTCCCTCTCAATTCTACTAATGTGCATGAACTCTGTGCAACGTGGAGACATCAGGTTAGCTTAGGATGGATAGCCAACGCATGCAGCCAGTATCCTGGAGAAGTTAACTCCTGATAGTGTTGTGAGGTGAAGCCGTAATGCATCTCTACAATTGTTTGCATGGCACTTGATGTATTTCTTTTCCCTCCTGTACCCAGAAGTAGAGCTAGGCAACAAATAGCTCCTTCACAGTGGTTGCTTAGTTGCATTAAGTTCTGGAGTGCCCTTATGTTGGTGTGTGTTGTGACTGGGGTTCTGAGTGGCTTTCCGTTTCCCAAGCCTCGCTTTTTTTCAAGGCTTTTGGCTTCTGTCAGGAGACTCCAGAGGAGTAGAAGATACACAGACCCCTTTATATTAACCTTATCTTTTGTCTGCATGTGTATGTAAAGAAAACAAAACTGCTTGAATTCTGCTCTTTATAAGAGTCAAGTTTCATTTATAAATACCTTGATCTGAGTGGGAAACTTGGTGTTGGACTTCTTGGTGTTGGAATGTAAGCTGAACAGCGTTATTAAATGGCACTCTTAATGCAAGCTGTCTCCTCATTATAGGTGTTGACATAGATTAATAGAGCTGCAATGCTGGAGCATGACAGCTGACATCACACAACTTAATGTAACTGTTTTCTGTTCTAGATTACTTTTCTTGGGGTGAGTTGAGCTGGTTGTGCTGTTGTTTTTAAAGGCAAACCTAACAGTAAATGGACTAAATAAAACAGAGGTTAGGTGAATTTTTCCTAGCTTTGCAAGAAAAGGGCATGGTTACGTTATAGCTTGAATGTTCTGTTGATTTTAACTTACTTTCCATTTAAGATACTTAGCTCTAAGGTAACTTTGAATTTTAATTGCATTGGAGTAACATTCTTAAGTCTAATGTAGATGCTTTTCCCCCCCACTGCTTTTTCCTTCTGCCTTCTACCCTGGCTTTCCTATGGTGTGATGTTGCTTTCTGTTGATTGCAAGTTGTTCTCTTCCCACTTAATCCTTCCCTAGCTTCTCAATCATGAACTCCATTCACAACTCAAGTGGGCTGGAGGTGGTTCACATCAGTAGTTAATTAGTGGCTCTGAAAGACTGACTTCTGTGAACAAAGTTGCTTGAGAAATGACAAAAATAGCTGAAGTTGAAGGGTGTGAAAGGACTGAATTCACTCCATGAAGTGGAATAGGAGTGAACCATTGAAGTGAAATGGCTTTGGAAGTCAGACTTTCTTTTGTGTCTCGTATTGATGAGTTGTTTCTACCAGTTTTGAGATATGGGTAACTTATAAAATCCAAGTGTATTAGTGGCATGAAAGCTGCTTAGAGTTGAAGCAAAAGCATTTTTGCTGTATACAGAAGCTATCAGTTGAGTTTGTGTTGTTGGGATTTGTCTTATTTCAGTTCAGTTTTAATGTACTCACTAAACAGAATGAAGAAGGATGTGAGATGACCTGTTTTGTTTGTTTGTTTACTAAATGAAAATGTTAAAAGAAATTCACAACATTTTGTAGGGATTTAACATGCACACACCTGAGATAATCTGCACCAAGCACTCCACTTCTAGTCGGCCAGAAGATGGCACATGATGCAGTGTTGATGCTGTAAGCCTGAGGAGAAGCCTAGAAGGCATGAAAACTTACAATAAAACTTCACTAGGCTGGTCATTCAGATTAAATATTTAACTAAATGAAGAAACTGTTAAAAATTACTCTTTGGGGTTTTTTATCTCCTGTTAGTAATTCACTGTGTAAGGTATTAAGTTGATGTTTTGCTTTCTGATGTCAACCTGGAGATTGGATTTAAAAAGATTAATTATCACTAATGAAATGTCAAATTCTTGTGTGGAAAGGAATGTAGACTGTCCTAGAGAGCAATAACAAGTTTAATTGAATGAGTGTAAATAAAACTTTGTGTGTGAATCCCTTCCCCTCAAAATACAATAGAGAGGGAGAAAAAAAATGCTCAGAAATCAGATTAATTCTCTTAGAAAAAGAAGTTTGGTTAACAATGAAATTGAGTTGGGGGGAATGCTGAAAACAGTGGTCATTCTTAACTCTGTGCAATGAGGAGTATGTTACTTGAGTTACATGGGATTGTGGTAAGATTACCTAATGTTAATAGCTTATCTCAACTTCAGTGAAATCAATTCAGAGAGTGATGCTTAACAAATCACAGCAATCTGTCTTGTTTGATAGCTGACTGTGGGTTTTCTCCCTTCTCTTTGTTGCTCTTTCAGGTTGCTTTCGTTGTTCTAGCGTTTTTAGCAGCTATGTTTTGTTCTTACCCCAATCCAAACCAGGATAAATGCCCTGGGAACTATACTCACCCATTTAAAGTACAGACTGTCATAATAATTGCCAAGGTAATTCTGTGGATTCTGCACGTGTGTTTTGAACGTTACGTCCACCACCACCACAGCAGGATCAGGAGCAGGGGCTACTTCTTAATATATCGATCGACAAGGCATCTCAAGAGGCTTCCGTTGGTGATACATTCTACAGGTGAAGTGAACTTGTTTTCTTGTTCATCTTGGCAAGCTTTATTTTCTGGTGTGCTAAAAGACTGAACAACTCTGTATCACGTGTTGTGAACTTCAGAAATGAAATGCTTCAAATGACAAGTTGTGGAGGCTATTTTATTCAGATGGGCTGTTCTGACTTGCTGGATGCATGTTGTAAAGAGCTTTTATAGTATAAAGTTGAAGTAACAAATGTACCAATTTATGTTTAGCTGCTAGTGATGTTCATTTGCATACTGATTAATCTAATTAGATAAGTGACAAGACTGCAAATCCATCCAGCAAGCATAGCCTTGTTTTTCAGCCTTAGTATTTTAGTGGAAGTAGAGGGGGAAAAAAAAAAAAGTAAAGCAGCTGCATCAACTGTTGTTCAATAAATGTCTGAAATGAGTTAAACAAGAGAATTTACAGTCTTCAGCAGGGCTCCATGTAACACTTAGCTCTACTTGTAACTGTATTTTTCTTCCAATGGACAGCATGTGATGTGTGACAGTGGGGGTTTTTCTTCACGTATTCTATGCTACACCACTGGCTAGTGAAGCTGAAAAATGTTTCAACAGTCAGCTGCTTTGCTTCTTATAAAGAAAAAAGCTCTCCTTCATTGAATCTAAAGATCCATGTAACTTGAGAGGCTTCTCCACGTGTGGATGACAGTAGCAGGGAAGAGCAGTGGCTTCCACAGTGTTTTTCTTAGCTGTAAATCTGGTAAAGATAGGAACGGAAACTTTTAACCAGTCTTGTAGGCTGTGGCCCTACTGCATATAAAACTGTGGCTTTCATTCTACCTGGTCATGAAAAGATATGTGGAAACATCGTTTGAATGTGCAGAACTGCAGGCTGTGGCCACTAGATAGAGCTCTGAAGATGGTTTTGGCATGCAGTGACAAGAATAGACTGCAGCAGGCTTAAGAATGTTGAATAATAGTTAAAAGATGGTTTCTGCCTATTGAACCGAGACTGAGGTTATTAAACTTGACTTTTGTCTTAGATGGAGTCAGTTTCTTCTCTGCTTTACCAACTGTGGGCCAATGTAAATATTCATGTGCAATCAGTTCTGTGTTGTGAACTTGTGATGTAAATCATCTGTAGCTCAGAAGGTGGTTAGCCCAAATACTCTTAACACCCAATTATGCTAATTGCTGTTGATGTACTGACAGTTCAGTTGCCTAATTCAGGAGAACTGTACAGTTCTCTTGTTGTTTTAATGGCCTTAATATGTGTTGTGTTTGTGGCTATAGCATTTGGACAGGAAATGATCATGTTTTGCCTTCCACGTGAGGCATGCAGCAGTGTGTGAGAATTTAAAGAATGCAAAATAAATTGTTAGGTCTGTAATTCAGTGCTTATTCTCTGTAGCTATTTGTGCTCATCTCAGTTTAAACTTCAGTGACCTGCAAGTATTAAAATAAATAGCTAGGCAACTGGAAACCTGTGCAACTATCTCCTTTTCAGAGAGTTAGAAGTCTTACTTAAATTTATTTTTATGGGATGTGCTTTTAAATACACTGAAGTCTCCTGCTGGATGGAATATACCCTTCCATTTCATACTGAGTGATGTGACCTGTTAGGTATTGAAAGGGGGGGGGGGGGGGAATAAAAGCAGTTTTTAAGAAGGGTAGTAGTTCCCAGCAGGGCTAGGAACTGTTCAAGTCAACATATGCTGTATGTTAGGTTTTCCCATCCAGTCCTTCACCCTCTCCTTAAATCAGAAAAAAATAAAAAAAAAAAAACAACCAACAACCCCTACCATTACAGTCAAATGCTGAAATGAAACTTAGTTTTGCTGCCAAGAGTTGTGAGCTTGCACCACCTATGTTTGCAAGTGAACCAAACAGGCAAGCATGGTTTGAAGCGTTGCAGCCTAACGTGGTTCTCCAGGATTGAGGGATTAATAAGTTGCTTCTAACAGCTAGTGAAATTCTTATCCCTGAAAAATAATGCTTTTTTTTCCTAGGTAATGCAGCCCTGCTTTTGATTTTGTCAACCCAGCATTCCTTTCCTGATCACAGTAAAGTGTACCTGTATCTTATCCTGGGAGTCCTGGGCCTGGAGCTGATCAGTTCACTGACATGTCTAGTGATTTACACAGGTGAGAGATGAATTTTTGCCTTATGGGGTGTGGATTGCTCTAACTGCTCCTGAACAGTATTGTTTGCCCTCAGGGTAGTGCACTTTGGGTGTCCCAAGATGATTAACTGCATATAGGAAATGAATCCGTACCTGTGGAAAGGCTGAAGTGAATTTGGTACAAATGGGAAGGCTGAAAGGTTTGAAACAGGTTTCTAAGTTCTTGGTAAACAAAAGTGCTTAGCTTAATGCTGCAGGTTCTTTGAAGTGGCAATAAAAAAAATTGTTGCTCAAGTGTCTTGTGAACTGTCTTGGCTGATAGTGCATTCTCAATTGCACTTATTGTGAGTTGCTAAGCTGCGAAAGCTGGTTTTGTCAGCTCCTGTGGGACTGGCAGAATTGATGGTGTGATGTGCCTTCATCTCCAGACTTCTAAATCTCTATTCCCTTCTCTTCTTTACCTGTCCTATCTCCAAAAGCTTCAGTTCCTCTGTCACTAAAATGTAAGAACTGCCCTTAATTAATGCTTTTTTTTTTATTGCTTGTATTCCTGCTTAACAGTAGCAATGTTTTCTATGGCAGAGAGGTGAAATCAGACAGGCAGATTTAAGTTTGTTCCAAGCCTTGAATCACACAGTAAGAAAGTTTAAGCACTCCGTTCAGGACTGCATGTGGTTAAACATGAAGTAAAAGCTGTTTTCATGGCAGTCAGTGTATGTCTTAATTTGTGACTTGTTTGTGGCTTTTATTATTGCTAATTCTAGGAGCCTTTGCTTATAGAAAAGAAAGCTTTGGTGTAATGACACTAAGAAGTGCTGCTGATTGTTTTGGTCATCTAGGAAATTAAAGTTTCTTGCAACAAAACTGAAATCATAATACAGCAAGCAGTCCCAGCTCTGAACTGCATCTCAGTTCTGTATGGCGTGTGAGATGCCTCCATGTGTGTCATTTTATCAGGCTTTCCATTGAATTAACCTGTCCTGGAGGAAACATGAGCATGGCAGTTCTAGAGAGCTATTCCAAGAATGCTGGAAGACATCCCTTCTTAGCATAAGTATACTTGCTTTCCTGGGAAACTCAGGAGTAGAGATAAGCTACTAAACATCATTAGAACTTGAGCAGTTCCAGTGAAACAGTATTTGTTACCCTGAGACCTCTTGTAGCTCAGTGAGCTTCATTATGTGTCTCTTAGCTTAGTAAAATAGAGCAAGCTGCTATTAAGGTTGATTTCCTTCTAGTTAAATCTGAGACTGGAATTCTGTAAGAGCTCTTAAATGACCTGACCTTCTGACATCAAGACGGTTGTCTTCCTTGGCTTGTACTACCAGTACTCATGAAATCATTAACCAGTTTATACCTAGGAGAGCGTGGGGTGTGATGTTCTTGTTTTTTTTGAGGTAGAGCTGGGGGAGGCTGGAGGAGAGAGTTCCTTGAGTGCTGGAATCAAAGCAAAGGAGCGAAAGAATTGCAATGCAAGAAGGAATGAAGCCTCTCCCTTTTGACAATAGTTACCTTGCTCCCGCAGCAGTCTGAGCTTCATTCTCTGAAACTTGATTGATGTACTGAGCAAGTATTAATTATTATGTAACATTTGACTGAAGGTGAGAAGACCTTTCTAATTACCTTAGATGACCTTTTCCAGCAGGTAGGTAGTTCAACTTCCATCCCAAAACATTTTGAGATAAGCTAACAGACCTCACATACCTGTGTGTGTAATGATTGGTTCTGAGGTAGTTTGACACTGCCAAGGTTGAAGATAAACCGTGTATTTCCTGAAGGGAATAGAGGAGTACTTGGTTAGATTTGACTCTGATGCAATAGTGACATTCACATATATATATTTTTTTTTTTTCCCCCATCTCAAAACAGAGCATGTTATGTGGCAGGAAAAAATGAAGCCTCCTTTTTGGGTTATTTCAGAGGCAGTCTTCTAGTCTTCTGGAGTGCCTGCCCCATTATAAGGCAAACACTAGCAGATATCACTGACTGTCCTATGACTGTACCACTAATGTAGCTCTGCAGCTACACCAGCAATCCTGGGAAGCCTGTGGTTGTTCTACACTACAAATTCACAAACATCAACCCCTTGCCTGTGTTGGTAGATGACCCCTGAACTTAATGGGAAGGTTGTACCAATGTAGAGTCAAGTTGCTTCTCTCCTGTGGATTTTTTTGCATCTCTACTCGAGTTGCTTCTGTAGAATTCATATAGCTGTCTTTTTGTTTAAATATTACTGAATGTAGTGCCTCACAAATAAAAATGTTGTGGAATGCCCAATTGAGACTTCATAATTCATGAACTACCCAGAAGTAGTTCACAAAACTGTGTCCCACGAAGTAGAGCTCCCCTGAATAAAAACTTTCATTCAGTTATGTGCCTATATATATGTGTGTGTGTATATATATGTATAGCTATGAGCTCTGGAGGTGAGGGATCAGATCTACATGGAATTGTAGATTCCATGTAGATTTCTCTGTAACAGACTCAATTTATGTAAATCTTTTGAGTCAAGTAGGTGTGCCTGGAAAAAAAGCGATGATGCAGAGAGCTCTAAATGTAAGTTGAATCAATCTCAAGTTCATTATTGGTATGGCAGGGGGTCAAATATTATGTTTTACTAAATATATGTACTTAATGACTTTCCTACATCTATCTAATAGTGCATAAATAAGACTACCATCCTCATAAAGCATGTTGGAAATTCCTGGTCTATTCCTTTGTGGCTTTACTTGGGGAGGAATACTGTCATGGAAATAACTAACCTTTGAGCTTAACTTGTAGCTAACCTCTGGAGGGCCTTAGCATTGTTTTAGCAGGGTGCCCCATCGTAAACCTTACTATATTATTAACTTGTAAGAATAGTCTTTCTCTGCTTTAGTAGAGGTTTCTCATGTGGACCTAACTGAAATGGCTTTTTGGTACTAAATGTAGTTCTTGTGAAGCAATACTTAGTTGGAAATGTATAATCTGGATCTCTGAAGTACATTCCCTTTTGTAATTGGGGGCTGGTATTTGAGTAGTTTCAAGTATTTGCAGCTTCCTTCCAAAAATAACATGGTGTCTGCTGTTTTTTCTCACCCTCACCTGTCTCCATTCCACATCTGCTACCTTTCTCTTTAACTTAATTCACAGATGCCCAGGAATGACTTGGTGGTTTTTTTTTTTTTAAGCCAACATTGTGAGGTGTACAGTATAGAGTCTCCAAGGTTGGGAAGGACCTCCGTGATCATCCAGTCCAACTGTCCACCTACCACAAGGATTTCCCCAATAAACCTTGACCCTTATACAACATGTAAACTTCTCTTGAATGCCTCCAGGGATGGTGATTCAGCTACCTCCCTGGGCAACCTGATCCAGTGCATGACCATCCTTTCTGAGAAAACTTTCCTGATATCCAACCTGAACCTTGCGTGTCACAACTTGAGGCCATTCCCTCTAGTCTTATTGTTAGTTCCCAGGAGGTGAAGTTGCCTTCCACTTCACCACAACTTCCTTTCAAGTTGTTGTGGGGAACAATGAGGTCTCCCCTGAGCCTCCTCTCCTCTGGACTGAACAATACCAGCTCCCTCAGCTGCTCCTTTTCAGGTTTGTGTGCCAGACCTCTCTCCGGCTTCATTGCCCTTCTCTGGACATGACCAGGGCCTCTGTCTTTCTGTAGTGTCTCTCTATCTAAGAGCCACTCTGTTTTGTGTACTTAATAGCTTTCTGTATCAAGTATCCTAGTTCTGGAACAGGCAGACAAGCTGAAGCTTCTTTGTAGGTAGTCTAGTCAGAATAGTATTTATGAAAGAGTTTGAGAGAACTTGTGACCTAGATGCAATGCTAGTATCTAAACTTCCTATGGCTGTCTTTATTTGCATGTTGCTTAATGTATGGCCTGAATTTAGGCACTGAATCGCAGTTCCATCTCAAAGGTAGTTGAGGTTTTTCCCTCCCTTAGGAGACAAACTAAACTTCACACATGCTAAGCAGTGTATTTAAGCTTCCTTTTCAGGTCTTTACTTGCAGTCTTGGAGCAGCGGGACTGAAAGAGAGTATTTATAATCAAAGCTGTATTGGCAATAAGTAAATTCTGCTGTTGTTTCTTTTTCCCCCACTCATAATTACCACACTTCCTTTGTTTGCTCCTCTAAGGCAAACTTACCTGTTACAGATTTGTTTTTAACTTGGACTCTGTTTAGATAAAGCTTTTCTGTTGTTATTGCTGCTTTCTAAATATTGTATGGATTTGTTTCTTTTAGTGAAAGTAAGCAACTTCAATCGTGCGAAGCCAAGACCTGACATAATTGAAGAAGAAAAGATGTATGCTTACCCTAGTCACATTACCTCAGAAGTTGGATTTGGGTAATATTTTTCTGTACTAATCTGCTATGTGTTCAACTGTGGTAATGCTGACTGAAGGAATTGTGTTACTTCATGTAGAAATATTTGGATAGCCTTAAATCTGTCAGCCACAATAGGTGTGGGAAAAATAGTTCTGAAAGGAGTCATAGATCTAAGACTGCTATTGTACGTACAGGTGAGAAATGAAGTTTGTGCTTTTGTATAGAAATAGCAATTTCTTCATAGATGAAGTAACTATCGAAGATAAGACAGGAATTCAAACATTTAAAGCTGTTTGCATCAGTCTTTAATGTACTACAAATAACTGTGCTTAATCTCTTTATAATTGACTTGAAAAGCAAATGGGAGATAAATGTTAGTGTCTTATAGTGTTTACAGTGTGCCTCCAGAAGTGCAGCTTCTTGAAACGGTTCTTTCAGACGAGAAAAGAAATAGTGAACAGCTGATAGATGAAAAATCTGCTTTTTTGTTCAATTGCTGGCACAGAACAGCACACTGTAGCAAGGGAATTGAAATATACTTCCAGTTCATGAAAGAATTATATGTGTGGATGAGCCAATTGAGGCATGAGCATGACTTCAGCTTACATGGCTTGCAGTAAAAGCTGTAGTGCAGAAGTGTGGAGGTGACTACTGCTTCAGCCCTCCCCTGTGTATCACAAATGCAGCCTGCAGATGCTTTCATGGAACTTGAAAGTAGAGATTCAGGACACAGGAAGGATTTAGAGTTGTCTTGCTATTTTGATGCAATGTCTGACTTCCATCTCTATATCAACATTATGGCAACTGCATGGGGGAATTCTCCTTTCTTGTTTAACTCTTCCCCTGAGAAATCCTCAAGTGTTAGAGAAGTTTGCAACAATGAGCAGCTAAGGAAAAGATCCGATGCCTTGATTAACAAGTGTAAACTTCCTCTGAGAACTGATTACAAAACAGTTATTTTAATCCAGGTCTGTACAATTCTGACTCTTTCCTGTTGAGTTGAAGGTCTATTGAAAAGTGAATCCTGTTAGCTGTTGACTTGACCTTCATTCTATGAATGCTTTATCAATACTGTGATCTCCATGACCTAACCTACTGATCAGGAGCTGGTGCTTAAGTTGGTGGTGCAGATTAGGGTTAGTGTTGTAAATGTTCCCTAAAATACTTGATCTTTTTTTCCACCAGCTTAACCACAGTGGGTTTAAATTGTACTACTTCCACTCAACTGGTCAGTGCACTTGAACTATGATAAGGGCATTGCTACTCAACAAAGTGCTGCAAGGCTTTCTAAGTTCCAGGATGCTCAGAGCAGATTTGCAAGTGAGCTAGCAGCAACTAATGAGTATGGGAAGACTGAAGTATTCTCACAGACTTCAGTACTTGTATCTTAATTTCTGACTGCAGATTTGGCAGTTCTGTAGTCTTACAGGTTTTATGAAATAGCTCTGTTTTACTGTGCTGGTTAAATATAGCGTTTGTAACATTGCTTTATGGAAGCTGGAGGTAGCTCTAAGCTGAGGGTAACTGTATGTGAGGCACTGGATCTACAGTAGCACAGATGTTAGGTGCTAATGCTGTTAGAGTATTAACAAATAATATCACTACTCTTTTAGTCCAGGTTAATCAAGAAATGGTTGTTTTACTCAGCTACAGGCAGCAAAAGCAGTATGTAAATATTATGCTTCAATTACACTTCCTAATGTGGTTGGAAAAGGTGGCATGGGTTTCGTAGTACAATCCTAGTGTGGTGTCTAAGTAGCTTAAGTTTGTAAAAGCTAAACAAGCAGCTTTGTACTACTGTGGTTCTTCTGTGTTGTCCAGCAGGAAGAACATAACTTGCTTATGCAAACACAGCTCAAAGTTTAGCCTACCTTTTGTACTTCCTGCCCTCTCAGCTATAAATGAGATTAGGTATAAAAGATTGTTTGCCCCTTTGAAAAGCAGTCAAGATGTTCCAAAGTAAAACTGAAGGAAGCAATTTGTTACAGTATTGGTGAACATGCACTGACCTTTCATACGTCAGGTATCTGTTATCTCTTATGGAAATGTGTATTCACTTCTTTCAAGGGAAAATTCAAGTTTAGAAGAGATCGTTGAGAAGCAAGGAGATGTAATAGAATATCTTCAGCGACACAATGCACTGCTCAGCAAGAGACTGTTGGCATTAACATCTCAGCAAACCAAAACTTAAATGCTTGGAGAACTGCTGCTGGAGCTCAGGAGAGAATACGAGGCAATACAATATCCAAACAGACCTGTAGAGATGACTCTTCAATCTTCTTTCCCATTTAAAAATAGAGCTTAAATTGCAAGTATGAGCTCTGCGTACACTGTAAACCTGTGACAACTGGACTTAATGGCTTTTTTCACATCAGTTCTGAGAAAACGTTCAGGAACATAAAGGATTTTGAATTCCTAAGAGGTTACAATTGGAGTTAAGGGACTGGTTTAACGTCTTTCAGTCGTTGCTGTTATTTTGCACTGGTGTATTTTTTTTTTTTTGAGCTTTAAGTTACTGAAGTACTTTCTAGAATGCACATTTGTTCTCAGATAAAACCTAATTTTGCAGAGGATTCCTCTCAGCGTACAGTACTGAAGCTGGGATATCTTGAATGTGGGTGTTCAATCACTGCACTTCAGTATGTCCAGTGTTTAAGGTGTTATGCTTCAATAATCCTGTACAAAGTAGATACTTGCTTTCTAGATTTGTTTTCTCCTTTGCCCAGTAAAGGACTGAAGTTGTTTCCTATGCCAGCAGGAATATTTAGCATCCAGTTGAAATAATAACAAGGGCAGAAGGGAAGGGTGGTATCCTAAAATGTACTGGTACTGCATGTGAGATTTGACAAGTTATGATCAGCAATTTGAGGAGCTGATCAGAATGCTGGCTGTGGATAACAAAAAGGTGTCTTCAGGTCTGCTGATTCTCCTGCTATTGGAATTGTGTGTCAGCAAAGACTAAACAGGATTTCTTCTGCCTGCCAAACTGACACACAAATGGTAAGTGCTGTCATTGACCCTGTAACCCATTAGTGTTCAATGGGGTTTAAAGTTAGATCCTGTTAGAGCCACTATCAGAGTTGCTCTGTGCTTTGACTCTTCAAAAATGTTGCTGTCTAAATTTAAAAGCCAAAATGAATGTGTGTGGTGGATATCAGCAGGGGACTGAATGGCCTTCTGGAAGTGGAAAAACAAGAGTTATCAGTTCTAATAGAATAAATTCATTGGGAAGGGTGGTAAAAATCATGCTTTTCAAATGCTTTGTCTACCACTGTAGTCAAAGCATTATTTTAGAAGCAAATGTCTGTGGGAAGACAGAATAATTACTGGTCAAAACTGGGAGGAAGATCCTCATAAGGAGTGGTCTTGTGGCTGAATATGGGGAAAGAAACACAAATATTCTATTTTTTTTACTGGAACACAACTTCAAAAATAACTAAACTGTCTACTGTAATAACAAAGATGAAGATTGTCTTTTATTATAAGAAAAAAGTTGATATTTTGCTGCTATTTAACACTAAACTGTACCCCTTAACTGTTTTTTGGAAATAAAGCCACGTTTTTATAGTGAACATAGAAAGGATATAAATGTTTGTTTTTAGAACTCAGGTCTGAATGTATTGTGTATAATGACTTAGATAACTGCTATGGAAAGCAGTAAACTGTGACTGAAGTTCATGTACAATAATTACAACTAAGGGAAAGTGATGCCATTACCACTGTTCTGTGTAAGACTGCAGCATATTGTGAGCAGTTGTAAGCTGCTGAGTTGTTCTGAATGAATTTAAGGCTGGGATGACTGAACTTGATCTCTACACCCACCTCACTGTGGCCTGATGCCCGCACCATTCGGGTAAGTAAGAATGGTTCTAAGAAGTGGAATGAATGGACAGATATGTGCAGTGAAAGGAGAACGTGTTCTAGGAAAACAAGCCTTAGGCAGATTTGCAGCAGGGAAGGTTTAAATTAGATGCCAGGAGGTGTCTGTTCACAGGGAAGGTAGCCAAGCACTGGAACCAGGCTGCTTCGTGTCCTCATCCATCAAGGTAGTGAAGATGTGTGCTTGGGGAACTAAGGGGATGTAGTTGAGTGATGGAATACTATTAGACTTGACGATTAGGAGCTGTTTTCCACGCAGCAGATGCTGTGCTAAGCAGTACCAGCCCTGTTCCTGTGGGCAGCTACAAGGTGAGGGACAGCTTTCTGTGCATGCATCTCCTGCTCTGGCCATGTCACTGTGACGCATGCTGTGAATTGTGGATGCTGCTGAACTGGAGAAGCAGAGAGCTGCCCTCATTCCAGCTCTGAGCCCTGGCTCGGAGAACTGCCTGTTCTACTGGCAGTGCTTTGCTTTTCTGAAACCCACTGCTTGCTGTGAGCTTCACATGGGATGTTGGGTTTCCGACCACTGGCGATGACTCAGAGTTGTTCCCCAAATGTTCGTGTTAGTGTTAGCTTTTGGCTACCAGATGTTGAAATGAGCTAAATGCGTTTCGTTCTGCTTCTTAATAGTGCTTAGCAGAAATTATCCTGTGAAACCACCTCTGTGTTTCACCTCATGCAGGAAATCAGACTGCCGGACTTTGTAACAGCATTCCCATCTGTAGAGTGCTATACCAACTTCTGCAGTCACGCAGCTTCACCCTGCAGAAGGTCGTCATCACTCGAAGTAAGAGTGATGTTGAAGAACAAAGGCAGGCTGGCAGACAACGATCTGACCTTGAGGTAACTGGAGAGATGTTTAGGGGAAAAAAAAAAAGACAACCAGCATCATCAGCATTGGAATTTGTTAAGCTTCCAGGGCATCGCTGTTAACTAAAGACAGGCTCCGATGTTTGTGCTGTCCAAGCCAGAGCCATTTCCCACTGCAAAGCATTCAGCAGACTGATCGCTAGCGGGGAAGATAAAGGCCATCTGCAGTAGAGAGAGATCAGTATGCTAATTGTACTTGTCTGATGATAGTCAGGCACTTGAAACTTATTTACCATGCTAATAGTGCTCCCGATTGACATTAATGCAAATCTTATGTGACCCTTAACAAAATCTGGCTTTGTGTCTGCGCTCTTGAGATATTTATAGCCTATGTATGTGGCGTAAGGGAAATATTTCCAGTCATTATTCTTCCATAAATTTCCTTTTTTCATTTTGGAAAGGGAAGAAGTGAATTGTTTATTATTCTTTGGGAACGAACTGATCGGCTGTTTCTCACCACGGCCTTACACTTACCTCCATTTCCTGTTGGTTCCATGCAACCACAAGACCAGGCATTAGTTCTGAGTTTCAGATAAATTCACATTTTGGACTTGAGAGTCTGGGGGCTGAGTAGACCTCCGGTCAGATCTCTTGGTTGTTGGATTCTGTCAATTTAATCTCAGTTCTGAGTTTGAATGGACAGCAACTTTCCTTTAAACAGGCTTCCTTTATACACTCATGCATGCAGATGGAGAATTGAGCTGTTCTAGCACTGTGCCCAAATACTCCATGTTTATATGTCTAATCACACTGTATCCTGGGAAACTCTTTTTGCCATAATATGTTGCACAAATTATCTACAAAAATTCAACGAAGTCAAGGACAAGTCTGACTCGGCTGAAAACAACACAGCCCTATTAAATGTAAATGAGAACACAGGATCACAGAATGGCCTGGGTTGGAAGGGACCTCAAGGATGATGGATCTCCAACCCCCTGCTACATGCAGGGCCACCAACCTCCCCACTTAATACCAGCCCAGGCTGCCCAGGGCCCCATCCAACCTGGCCTTGAACACCTCCAGGGACAATATTGTGCAGTAGCAGCATCACTAGGCTCTTGAACTGCAGTGTTCAAGATAGGTAGCTAGCGCTCAACTTACAGTGCCTGACCTGTGAAGGGAGAAGCTACCGTGTGTTTTTGTTTCTGCTGCTCTTCGCACTGCTTCCAAATGTTTTGTCCTGAAATCAGGAAAGGTCTTTTGGACTTTTGGATTCTAAACCCTGCACCCTGAGCTCATAAAAAGTCTTGCTTATTCTATACGTGTTGGCAGTGCATGGTCTGCAATCTGCTGTAATCTTATGGTGTTGTGTCACGTTAGAGTGTGTTGTGATTACATAAGCAGTAGTTTTAAAACAAGTTCTTCTGACTTTAACCAGAATTTAGCATTTATTTGTAAGAAATCCAGTAAGAAAGGGTTTTACACATAGCTTCCATGTCAATTTACAGTAAAAGTAGAAAAAAAGCTCTATTTTCTTTAGGTGCATCACCTCTGACATCCGAAGAATAGCAATGTCGAGCAGTGTACAAGGATTCCTTAAAATGAAGCATTGCTATTTGAAGTGCATACTTTATACAAAATATACAATCAGCTAGCATATAAACATATCATATATTGCCATCAATGTCTTTCTCAAAGAAAATTTTGTTACCAATGTGCCTTAAAAAAAAAAAAAAAACAGACATAGAAAATTTTGAAGAGACTGACAACAGGCTTCCTAGGACACTTTGGTGAGTGTTGCATTTGTTTTTGTATTCATAAAGGAACATGCATACATAGGACTTTGGTATTAAATCTATAAAATCTATACACTCATTATTAAGATAACCATTAAATAGTTACTTTTGAGATGTCTTGCTTTCCATAATCTCTGCGTTAGGCATATAAGAAGGCTAAGTTAAATTAAAAAGAAAAAAAAACCAAACAAACCTAATTTTAATGGCAGCATGCTTCTAAGTTTGGAAACTAACTCCAAAGATTTACCTTGGTGGCTGTTTGTTGGTGTAGACAAGTTTGACTGTTTTGATGGCACTATCTATTTTTTTCACAAACCCATCATAAGGTGATGTTAAACTTTCCTGCGTGTTTTCTACAGGGAGAAATTTGAAACTTGTTATATTTATCCAGTGCAATTCTGACTAGGATTTCAAATTCTCAGAGATAAGGGGTTACAAGTGGACACTGATAAGGAAGTTTCAACTATCCAGTCTTAATGATTGTTGATATTTCACTTATTAGCGTCTATGCTTTATGAAATCAAATTCTAACAGTGAATTTAGTTAATTACACGCTGATCTTTGCTCATCCTTACAACCATTACCTTTTTTAGGAAACTTTTGGTATTTAAAACCAGTGTGGTGTCAATCTGGATATGACCAAATTTCCGGGTTGTTTTAGTTCCCCCAAATGAAAGGACTGCCATGTTTTGCTTTATATGCAGTTAGTAATTTCTGCCGATATAAAAAGCTGTCAAAAGCTCTTTTTTTTTTTAAATAAAAAGTGAAATAAAAGCTAAGTTTATTCTTGACCTCTGGTGCAGAGGAGAACAGCTTGTTTTTCAAGTTCTTACTCATTGTAGTGCCACGTTCCCCGTGTTCCATTCATTTTAATCACAGCAATAGTGTACTACAGAGCACTGGCGGCGGATCGGACAAAGGTTTCTTTTCAATGGTCTATTTTTATGCTCTGTTTATAATGCTGTCGTGAGTATTTTAGGAAAGGTACTGAACAATTAGATCTACAGTGCTGAGTTGTCAAAAACATTTTAGCTGCTGGTTTGACAGCCCAGTTTAAGGGAATAAATGATAGGCTTTGCAGTAACAGCTCATTGAACAGCTGGATGGGCTTGACCTTAAGGCCTGACTTGGGAGACTTGAGTTATCAGTTTTGCAGTAGGTTTTGCATGACCCTTGGCTGATCTCTTATCTCTGTGTGCCTTAATTCTCTACCTAGAGAATGAGGGGTAATACTCCCTTTACTTTCTCGTATCATAACTTCTTCATGTGGGAATGCTTAGTGAAAAGAGTATGGCATGGTGCTGACTTTGGTGCTATTGACAGTAACACATTCTACACAGCTATTAAGATAAATTTATAAGGATGAAATGTTAGGTGTTAAAACATATGTATCATTAATATATCAGTGTACTAACTGAAAATGGACTTAAACAGTTCTGTGTGTAAGTCTGACATCATTTCACACTAAATATTGCTTTATGTGCATAGCTTGAGTGAAATACAATCAACAGCACATCCAATTTCTTCATCTAAATAGTACAGACATTAAGAGTCCCCTTGGACAAATCCTTCTTTTTGCCATTGGAAATCCATTTCAGGTATCTGATGTTTGATTTGGTCTTTAATTTTCACTGATCGTTGTGAGATTCAAATAATGTGCATTTCAACCAGTGAAGTTTCAGGTACATCCTCCCTTCCACCCCCCCCCCCCATCACCTCCGCTGTTTTTCCCTTCTCCCTGCTTCTAGGATATGAGTCACGGGCCTTTGTTCCAGGTCACGCAGAATGTGATACACAGGACTGCTGAAAGTGTTCATTTTAGATGGACTGCCTCAACACAGGATTGTCGTGCCTCCACCAGGTCAGCTGTCGGCGAGCTGTACTTAGAATGAGCTTCTCTATCAATGCAGTTGTTGCAGCTTCCTCCTTTAAGACACTGAAAAGCCCATTATGAAATTGCTGAGGGGAAAAAAAATGAAACATATTACTTACAAAATAAGTGGTTGAAATACGAGGGAATTTGTCTGATTTGGGAAATTTCAGTTAGCAGGTAAAGGAAAAAAGCAAACAATAAGGTAAAAGCATCTCATACCTTCCCCAGCTGTTTGTTTCAACTTTTCTATATGTTTACAGATAAAAAAAAAATCAAGTTCAACCCCTTCATCATTTCAAATGTGAAAAAGGCAGGCTGTTGCATTCATCCCAGTTTCCAACCAGCTGCTGAAATTCAGGATTAAGGGTCCATCCTGTTTGCATCTGCAATTAGCTTTATCCATATGTAGAACTCCATTGAGATCAGTAAGATTACTCAGGTGAGTCAAGTTACCCAGGCATGTAAATATTTGCTGAATTAGGACTAAAACTGGAAGGGAATGTAAATGTAGATAGCAAATCCTACTTAAGATAAAGGAGCTGAGCACCCACAATGCTGACTGGGGTTAATAGTCAGTTCAGGTGCTTGTCACCCAAAGTCAAGCTTTATGTATTTCTAGATAGCTTTGTAAAACAGAATTCTATTACTAAATGCCTATCAAATACATTATGTGTTAACAAGCATAGCTGTGTCATTGACTTCTTAATACGAGAAACCAGCTCTCTACATCCAAGGAGATAAACTGAGAACAGCTTTTATCTTGATATTCTATAGGGAAAACGTTTGCAGTGTCAGTGCACAGGTATCATGTAGCAAATGCACTCTGAAGCATTAGAGAAAACGCAATGTTCTCTACACAGCCAGTCCCCAGACTGACTTGACAAATGGGAGCCGAGTTGCTGCTCTCAGCAACTAAAACGAGCCGTTGAGGTGTGATCCAAGAAGCAGAGCTAAATTCCCCTATCTCTGCCATTTAACTAATTTCATTCCTGCACGCTGAGTCTGACTGCCTATCTTTTAAGTTTTGTACTCAAAGGAGGCTCCCTCACCAATCTGAAGTGCCTCTTGTCAGCATGAACAGCGCACTGAGATAGGGCAATCCGACATCCTCCTCTCACATCCCTTTCTACTTGTTCTGCCCCTCGTTCTCCAGCAAGACCCAGATTAAACCTGAGGTGCGGTAATCTTTACCGAGTCTCAGGGATGTGCCGGCTGAACGTCCCAAATGCACGGACTGCGTGTTTACAGGCCAGCACCAAGCAGCAGAGTGGTGCTTTTTTGGAGGGTTGTGGTGAGAGCAAGGCAGTTCATGCACTGCCGAGAGGTCTGGGTAATCAGCTAGTAGTTTGACTTCGGGCTCCGTACATCAAAACATCTGGGTACCAGGGTTTATCGATGATGCTGCCAAGCCTCGGCCTACAGCGTTATTTTGATATGTGACTTTAGAAGATGCAGAAAGCCGCATGTTTTATTCATCTTTAAATTGCAAGAGCCCCGCTTTCCTTTTGAAGCCTGCCCTATTTGCATATGCTACCTGCAGCCGCTTAGTATTCGAATGTATATGCCCTCATCAGCTGTAAAGCGTTATTGTTTAGCACTTGTATAGCCGAGGATGGCAAAGTCTTTCAGCGACAGGAGTCACAGCGCCCTTTGAAGTGGGGAAACCCGCGGGCGGCTCGGCGCTTCCTGGGGGGCGGCCGCCTCGGAGCGGCCGGGTGGAGCAGCGCACCCCGAAGCCCTGGTTGTTTTCAGAGCGAAGCCCCGAGCCTGGACACCGGGCGAAACCACCTCCGTGCTTCGGTCAGAAGCGTACCCGCAACGACTCCGGGGGAGGGCACCCGGCCTGGCTTTACGAGCATTACCTTCGCTGGGCGTTCAGGGAAAGGGCACGCGGGAATGGAGCGGCATGCACCGCCGGTGCGAGCAGCTGTGTCGGTGCAGCTTCCTGCGCAGGGCCAGGTTGGCTGCGGGAGAAGGAGGCAGGGCGTCAGGCGACTAGATCAAAGTTTCACCCTCTCTCCCGGCGGGCGCCTGCAGACGGCAGCGCCGTGACACCCCGCCGGCAGCAGCCGGCCCCGTTTACCCCGAGGTTCGCGCGGTGTTAGCGCAGGTGCGCCGCGCACACGCGGGTTCCGAACCGCCGACCCCAGGGCATCGCTTACCCGGTCTCTGCGCGGCGGCGGGCAGCAGGCTGGCCAGGAGCAGGAACACGACGCACAGCAGCTGCCGGAGCCTCATCCCTGCGGTCCGCGTGTGTACGCAGCGTCCGTGCCGCCCGCCTCAGCCGTGTCACATGCCAGCGGCAGCCGCTCTCCCAGCCGGGCTAATAGCACCGAGCGGCTGGAGCCTCCCTCTTTTTCCCCGCTCCTTTCCTCCCTCTTTTTTTTTTTTTTTTTTTTTTCCCCTCTTGTCACTCCCCCTTACTTTCCATAAGCAAACAATGAAGGAATGAGAAGGCCGAGTACACGGCGGCTCCCGTCAATAGGCGAGGAGCCTTCGGAACAATGCCGTCGCTCCGCTTTCCATTCAGCCCGGGCAGGGAGCGGGCTGCCCCGTGCCCCCTCCCCCGGAGCCGGCGGGACAGGAAGCGCCTTTTTGTCCCGCGCCGCTCCGCGGGCAACGAGCCGCCAAGCGGCCGCCATTCAGCGCCCGGCAGCGCTGCGAGGCCTCGGGGGCCCTTTTGTGCCGCTGAGCACCTGAATGTGCCAGGAGCCGTTTCACGGCGGAGCTTGAGGTGTTTTGTTATGAGGAGGAGTGCTGGGGAAAGCTGAGCTTGGCACTTCCCGCGCTTGGTGCTTTTGCGGCGGCCTGTGTGCAGGCCTGTGTCCGGGTCTCCTTCTGTTGTCCCCCGGCCTTCTGGGGGCTCGGGATGCGCTTCCAGTCGGTGACGGAGAAAATGAACATCTGAGCCTTGTGGGAAAAAGCTACTTGTTTAAAGTAAGTCAGCAAGAGTACAATTCTACGCTGTGCTGTTAATAGAAAAGCGCCCTCCAAAGCGCTCCACAGCTCTTAAGAGCGGAGTTTGCTTTTTAAGGCAAGCACTCCTGTGTTCTTCCCACTGTTTCCCCTTCTCCCCACAAGCTGTTTCACTGGACCCCATTACTGCTTCGTTTGTCCCGGTAGGCTGTGTGAAAGGAGAGGGACTTCCAGCTCTACGTAGCAGCAGCAGCTGTTAGATGCTGTTACTTTAAAATGACTTACGTTCTTCTATTTGGAACAGCTGCTGGGGAAGGTGTGTTTGACCAGAGAGAAACAAGGGAGATCCTCTGGTTATTGATCGCATTGATCTGTCGCAAACAGCAGGCGCTTCCTAGCCTCGTCTGTATGCGTTGTGTCTTGTTTCTGTCCAACCTCTGACCTTTCAACTAGGCTTCTCATGAATATCTAACGTGTAGCTAAGCCTTGGTATCTCTCCCAGGGTTGCCTTTGCAGCATCCCCGACTCCTCCTCCCTCAGGGACAGGGCTGCCGCAGGGAGGGACGCATCACGTGGATTAGGACACCCTGATCTGAAAAATGCCACGACCTTCAGCATTAAGTGATATTCAGTTCAAACTCCTATTCTTCAAGTGAAAAGCAGTAAAGGCTTCCAAGTGAGAGGTAGTAGTCTGTGATCAGTTGAAAGGAAAGAGAATGCATAGACCATTGCCAGTCCCTCCGGCTATCCAGACATCTTCCACGCCTGTATTTGTTGAAGTTTACAGACATTCTGAGCATTTTCAGGGGCTTCAGTTGGACACAGTATTGAAGTGCAACATTTATAGGCTTTTTTTCATTCACAGATTGCTATGAGCTATTAATCCAGCAGCTACCCTCTGCTAATGTTTGCAATGATTCATCTGAACAGTCGAGTCCAAGTCCCTGTAACACGTGCATCACATGTTCGTTGTCACTTTGGTATACCATAGAAGTGATTTTTGGATGCTCACTCTCTGGAGAAACTTTAAAATGTGTTACATTTTCACAGTAGAATTTATACTTGTTTTGCAAGCAGCTTTCCTTCAGGTAAGTACTTACATATGGCGTACCACTGCCTGACATTAGGCAAAGTACAGGCAGTTTTTTTTTTACATGAAGTTGTCTTTTCCTGAGTATAGGTGGTATATAAGACAGGAGTTACACTGAGAGAGGATCAGAAGCACAGGAGATAAAGTAATGGGCAGCAGCTGGAAAATAGATGGCTAAAGTTGGATGGTAATGACAGGAGAAGAAAATTGGGCACTCCTTTGAAAGGACTAAGGGATTAATTAGCATTCTCTTCAAGACTGGTAACTGAATCCAGCTTCTGAATCCTACCTTTCCTTTGAACGCCAACACATAACTGTATATATTGAAAGATGATGTTTGCTGCTAGCCCTTGAAAAAAAGATCTTGAATACTATCAGTATAAAATGTTAAATAAAGTTTATCAAGCACAAGATTTCATGGTTATAGATGGTAATGCTGGCTTCAATCTCATTGTCTTTGGCTTGGGATCATATCTCCTCCATACAACCATAGAATGGCCTGGGTTGAAAAGGACCACAGTGCTCATCCAGTTCCAACCCCCTGCTGTGTGCAGGTCGCCAACCAGCAGACCAGGCTGCCCAGAGCCACATCCAGCCTGGCCTTGAATGCCTGCAGGGATGGGGCATCCACAGCCTCCTTGGGCAACCTGTGCCAGTGCATCACCACCCTCTGGGTGAAACCAAAAAGGCACTATTAGAGTGCATCGATGGTTGTAAATCTCTACTGTGCTATGTGAAGAAGTGTCAGGTAATATTTAACATCAACGTTTCTAATCACATTTTCTAATTTTGTGTTCCACAGATCCACCCGTCCTGATGATCCTGAGGAATTATTTCACTAAACAGACGAGAACAGCAAGAGAACATCTACTTCAAAAGTGCTGGGTAAGCCAAATAATCAAGTCCAATGGCACATGTCATTACAGCAAGTTCCAGAGTTTTCTTAGTTCCTTTATATGAAGTTAAGAGGCAGTATATGAGCTGAGCAACAAATGAAAGCAAAGAATTTGAAAAACTTGCTCAAGGGGAAAAAAAAAAGTTGGTAAGGAGATGCTCAAAGGGTTAGGTTTTGATATGTTGTTTAGACATCAGTAATGCTTTTTTTTTTTAAACCACAAATTTCATTGGGGTTATTATCTCGTGGTTTTATTGGGTGTGTGTGTGTTTGACAGCCACCAGCACGTAGGGTGATTTTTTTCTGACTGGAGTGTAGAATCAGAAGATGACTGTTATGTTTGCCTCCTTCCTCAACTGTGGATGTGGAGGCTATACTTTCTCTAGACAAAGCTCATCTGCTTGAAAGTTACAATTAGATGGGGAAATGATGTACTTTCTGTCATCATTTCCGTGACCTGTGCTTGGAAACTAAATCCTACTCGAAAATGAAACCCCCTTCCTTAACTTTTGCAAAGTGGGGAAATCAGTTTCCCTGCCTTTTTGTGCTCAGCTGCATTTCCTGCCTGGGGGATGCCTGTGCTCCGGAAGGAGATGCTGTGTGAGTTGTTCTCCAGACAGAAGGAATGCCACCCAGTTGTGGTGGTAACTTGACACTGGACAGATGTGCTCAAGGAAAGGAAATGGGGGGTGGCTCAGATTAGGCTAAACCTTCTGCAACTTTGCCCTTTTTTTCTTTTTTCTTTTTTTTTGTCAGAGCTAGAGAGAGGTTTCCCACATAAGTTGTAGAGGTGCAGAAAGTACCTTGTGTTTAATTTTAAGCTGGGAAGAAAGTTCACTGTGTCCTTGGTACAAGACAGAATTAGAATGAACAGTGCTAGAGAAAAAGATGTGCTGGTAGACCTTCAGTCTTTCTTACTTCTCTGGCATGTATCTAGAGGATTGATTTCGTTTAGTTCAATGAAAGCAATATCAGCCATGCACCTGAATAATCACCAGTCTCTCTCAGATAAATGATGCTTCTAATGATTACCTACTGAACTTTCTTTAAGAAAACACATACTTTAATGAACGTCAAGTTGCACTTATTCTTCAGTTGCTTTCCAAGCTCAAGAAGCTCAAGAAGCAAATTTGAGTTTAAAATTTATCTAGAAAGCATATATATATAATTTTAAGAGGAAAGCAAAGAGGGGAACAGTCAAGAAGCAGTGCCTGTGATCCCTACCAGAGTAACCACATGTTCTGTTTCAGCCCCGAGAAGCAGCCGATCGGTCAGATTCTTTTCTGTCACTAGTCATAATTTCAGAGCTTTTTTTAATTTAAAGAGACATTTATGTTGTCATAAATTAATGATATTTAAGAAAAAAATGCAATGCTTGCAGAGCGCAAGGTTGTAGAATTAATTTGTATGTGCCATTTAACGTTCAAATAAGCCTTCTGTATTTGGACCCTTCATGCCGTAGCAGTCAGCAGGAGAATTCTTTACAAAGTATTTCTCACATTGCAAGGAAAACTCTTACTTGTAATCATGCAAATAATCAGAACTTGGTGCTAAAAGCATTTAGGAAGGGTTGCTTACTGCAGTCTTTAATATGCACATTAGTGTATAAAAAAGAAATGTAGATATAGTCTTGTTCTGAAGTCGGTTTTAGAGCTTTGTGTGTGATTGAAAAAAATGTTATTTTAATCACAGTGTGTCCAGCTATTTGCACTAATTTCAGCAAGCCTTTCAGGTAGGAAGACTTGATTTCCTGGAGATAGTTTTCTACATAACTGGTCTTCTGTTTGGGAGCTGGGCAGCCATTAGCCAAAGCAATACTTCAGTGCAGGTAGCGTTAGGAAATGCTTGGCAAATTTCTACAGAGATTAGATGGGTAATTACTTGAGAGAGAATTTCAAATGACTCTCCAGCCCTTTGCTTATTTATACATTGGACTTTGGGTAGTAAATTTCCTTTTAGTTTCAGTAGAATTTTTCAGTGTTGCTTGCTATTTATCATCAGACATATGGTGCCGCGTAGAGCAGCTCTGTAGGAAGAAAGAGCTCGTGTTCCCATGATGGGGTCTGGCGTGGTGTTTTACTATTCTGAATTGTTCTCTTCCTTAATCTCAGCATTAACCCTCTGCAAGCCCAGTCACTGACTTGCAGGGGAAATGTGCACTTTATGCATGAGTTTTCCCATGAGGGTTTGGACCTTCCTAGGCCAAACCCTTTGAACTTTGCCTCCTGGCAAAAAGATTACAGCTCTGTCTTGCCCTTCATCAACAGCTAGGCTGTGGGTTTTTTGTGATTTCCCCGTCTGAATTATTTCTTTATCTGTTGTGGTCAGGAAGGTCAGCCTTTCTGTTGCTGATGCAGCTGGTGAGAACTGCAAAAGCACACAAGTTATTTATGATTTTTTTTTTACTTTTTCACCCTTCAGGCAAGCTGAAAAACAGGAATTCCAATCTTATAGTCAAATAAAAGACAAATAAGAAAAACAAATGGAGAGGAACAGAGGCAAAAAAGTCAAACTTTTGTTTAGGAAAATGTTGAATTCCTCACCGAATTCCTACGTTGTTTGTCCCTGCGCTGCCGTGCAGGAAATGGCAATGTTTTCCAGCTGCATATTATACAGCTTTGTTTGTTGAAATGTTTTGCAGTTCTTGTTTTTAATGAGGATACTGGCACCTTTGTGGTAAGTAGCCTGAGGTATTCCGTAGATATTTTATCCTTCTAATAGCAGATTTTCCAAGGAACAAGTTTTACGTTGTGGACTTGTGATACCAGGCTAAGCCAGCATCTTTTTTTAATTATGAGAAGTTGTCAGAGCTTTAGTTGTTGCACTAGCCAGATACCTTCCCTGGTCAGTGCTTGCTGCGGGCCTTGTTCTCTACTAGCCCTACCATTTCTCCTCCTGTTGAAGCTGCACTGATAGGGAAGGTGGGTAATTTTCAGGTAAAAATACTAATATAAGACAGAGCGTTGTCTAGCACTGGCTAGTTTTGAAAGGTGATGTTGATTTGCACTGGTTTTGCTTATGTGTATTAAATAATAATCACCTTTTATGCGTATAAAAGGCACGAAACAAAGCTTAAAGTAACTGAGCTGATCTCAGCATTCGCCACCAGGATTCTTGTGTTAAGCTCTCTGAAGAGATCTTGAGAATTTTGTAATCAGTGCCATAATTGCTCAAAAACAGATGAATTCAGGATACAAAACAGCAGCAAAAACAAACCAAAACAAAAATGACTGCCACCACCACCACCACCAACAAAAGCCACCAAGGACCTCAGACCAAATATGTGTTTTGTGGAAGAGGGGTTACAGTAGGTTAAATGCATAACCTACCCTCATGGCAGGAAATGCAGTTCATGAGGTGCATTGCATCATAGCTTTAGAAACTCTCCGTTGAATTTGGCAGTGTTTTTATTTGCTTTTGAGTCTAGTAAATATTTTTAGCTTGCAAATTTCTACAAAGCAGCTGTCAAAACCTCTCTTTGCAGAGACCATAAGAAGCTCTATGTTATGATGTCTGGTATTCTATAAAGTCTGTTTTGCAGAAGGGCTGTGGTCCCTGTCCTTTCCAACTTCTTTCTACCTACCTCGTTTCAATCCTTTAAAAACATGAAGGTAATGTTAGTATGGATACAGAGGTGAATATAGTAATGTATCAGATCTGCAGAATTTCCTTCTTTGTGAAGAATTTTTCCTTTAGATGATGAACAGTTTTGTGGGGCTGCGTGTCCCATCTCCACAGTTTCTGAACACTACTTTTTATTTGGCAGTAATGTACATATTCAGTATTTGATTGGTAGCTTAGCTAACGACTTTGTATTGCGCTTCAGATTTGATATAATGAGACGTAAGAGTACAGTGAGGTGGATATATCCCAGAAAACACATTAGTTGATCCATTTTGGCTTCTGACCTTCAAGCTGACACAAATAAATATGTGCATAGAATCAAAAAGTAATTAAAAATTTCCTCAGATTTCTAAATAATTTGTCTAAATAATCTTGTAGCTTTGATTAGTGGACTAATACCACTCGAATTGCGTTGCGGTTGTGTAAGACAGTCCCATTTGTTTTCTGCTTTGTACACAGAACAGATCCACACACAAAAACTTCATTGAAATGCTCATGAAAACAGCTATTGCTTAAGGGCTTTGAAGAAGAGACCTTCAGTGAAAAGAAGCTAGAAGGAATTCTGCAAGTATATCCCTCTGAGGACTGGCTTTAGTGCACTTCTGAAAACATCACATTTGGGTGCCTTTCTGCATATATATGCATGCTAAAGTTGTTTTTTATTATATATTTATTATATTATATATTTATATATTTTTTTTATATTACAGCTCTTATAGGTAGTAAAGCATGGATTTTAATTTTTACAGTGAGCAAATGAAGTGTGGTAACCAGTCAGATACCCCTGGCTAGTTTGTAGCCCTCGCATACGCAGCCAGCATGAAGGTAGCTGTGCAGTGTCCTGGGACTGCTTTAGCCCTGTCTTATTTAGTTTTAGGTTAAACTGTCTTTAAAAGCCTCCGGGGAGATGTTGTAGCAGCAGATGGGGATTAATGGGATGCAGGACTGTTAAGGAAACTGGGTGAGTAGTGAAATGGCAGAGGCAGCTATCAGTAGTTAGGCCATTTCTGTGCTGTGTGAATCTCAAGCTGTCTCACAGGGGCTTAGTAACCCCCTGCCTTTCCCATGTCCCTCCCTGTGCTGTGTCACTGCTACGAGGCTGCTTCAGCAGACAGCCACTGAATATGCAATCACAGAACAGCATATTTGCAAAGTCATCTTCTGAACAATTTTGAGCTTGGATTCAACACAGCTGCAATTACTTGCAGGATTTTTCTTTCCCTCTCACAGCATTTGCAGCGAAAGAAAGAAATGCAAAGTGTTTGCACATGTATCTCATGTTCTAGATAAAGATTATGCTCATAGGCTTATTTGTTATCTACAGATTTCCAGTGTAGAAAGCCTGGGAGGGTCTCAGCAGGCTGTT